AAGCTACTGCACACTAGTCGGGCGCCAAGATCAAAGCTGTTAATGCAAGCATGTTGGACATGGTTTTCTGAAGTCATTTAAACCATCAGAAACACTATGTTTTGAATGTCTTTACTTCTGAGCTCCAAGGAAATACAGAATATTTAAGAAAGTATTAGGACTCTGTAGGCAACAGCCTACATGTCAAAACTGTTCTGGTGAACACTAAAATAGTAAATCCTTGAGCAGAGCTGCAAGACTGTCCTCTACTGCCTAATCCAAAATCAAAAATAGGTTGTAGTCTAATATTCTAAAAATCATGTAAGGAAATTCAGCACAAAACACACAGCAATTCCTATATTCTTTCAACTTAGTAAAACTAATGCTACATATTTAACACATTGAATAATCTTTGATTTGCTAGGTAAGAATGGAGTAGTTAACACTGTTTGGATTTTACTTTTTTCCTATATTTGATCATATTAAGTTGTTCAATTAAACCCTATAAAAACTTTGGTGTTATAGTGTTCTTATCAACTTTGATATAATATTATTTTTCTTGTTATAGTTTATTTGTACTTAATTTTAAAATGTCAGTGTCGGAAAAATATGCAAATTTCTGATAGGCCTAATAAATAATTGTTAAGATTGTATCAATCCTGTTGGCAAAAAATAAATGTGCCATTATTCACTTCTTTTAGTTTTGGTCTTTCTTTATTGATCTCTGTATAATGAACTACTAAGAACCCTGAACCAAGATTTGCATGCAGAATTTCAGGGCAACCCTGGATGTCATGGAGATATCTATGAATAAAAGAAAACTAAAAAATAAATAAGTAATTAAAATACCCTCTCTAATATCTATAAAAATGTAAATGGACTCATTTTTATAAACAGTATCCATATCTGTAGTACCTGTTGTTCAATATAGAGAATATTTGAAGCAAAGTGAAAAGTACCTCTTGTCAGTATAAAGGGTGGGTGCCCTAAGCAGCCTTTTATATATGACTAACTGCCATCTACATAAAAATATATCTAGGTCAAAGAAAAACAGAAAGGAAGAGGGGGAAAGATTTAGGGAAAAATAAGTGCAAGCCCAGCATGGACAAGGCTTCTTTCTAATCCTGCCAAGAGCTCTGTTAGGATACTTGGGATAAAGGCATTCTATTTCTAGAATGCAATATCCCAAGCTCATCTTTTCTTTTAAATAAGTTCTAGCTAGTCATAGTAAGCATGCCAATTATGTCATTATGCTATAAGTAATAATACAACTGCTTGCAAGAGACCATATAATACAAAACTATACCAAGACAAAAAAATAAGGCCATTTATTTTTTTGAAAATGTTGGTTAAATCCGATTAAAGCATTTGTTAAGTATTCTTAGATGTGTAACTTATAAATTAAAGGTGAGGGGAAATATTTCAAAGTCATCACTAAACCTAGGTACTTTTAAATCTAGCTTAGAAACATGAATTCTAGACTTAGTCTTGGTTCTTAATTTGTCATAGAATTAATATTGTTGAACTGTAATAGAATAGACCTTCAATAAGTTTAAAACCTAATAGTAATATAATGATAACTAATAATCTACCTAATGTCTTATTTCCTTTTTAGTTGTATGTTTCTCTCTAGTGAAACATATATTACAATTCATTTTCTAGGAAAACAGGATTGAAATTTATGGCATTCATAAAAAAATTAGGATGACTATATGTCTGTCCGTAAGTTTACTCAAGGGTAATATATTTTATATCAGCTTCATGGGCTAATTGTGAGATTGTTGATAAAAATAATACATCTGGTAGTGTTCTTGAACTTATTCACCTGGTAAAATTCTGACCATTATAGTAGCAAAGAGATACTTGTTGGATAAATTAAGGAATAGATGAAATAAAGGTTTTTAACATTTTGGGGGACCCTGATAAGTCCTTACTGGAGAATCAAAAAATTATTTGACTTACTGAGTGAGTGATTGGTGGAATAATAAAAACAAAGTGAAATCAGAAAAAAAAATGAAGATGTAGCTTGGTAGACAGAAAAATATAGAAAATTGATTATAACAATAATTGAAATAATATCAGATGATGACCAAAGCAAAAATAAAAAAAATAGCAATTAAAGTTTTGACAGTATTTAAATCATTTACTATAGTTTTGAAAACTTTATTTTTGATATATTTTAGTTTTCATTTCAAAATGTGTTATGTAATATTCTAAACTTCAATATATCATAACAATATCTGAAGATGAATCCTGTTATTTTGACCTTTGCTTCTATGATTTTCAAGGAACATCAGATGCTTATCTAAGACTTCTTTAAAATGTAATTTTTCTTTTCTCTGTAATTGTCCAGGAGATAAAAAACATACATAAGGCTAAACAAAATACCAAATTTATTTTTATATCAATAATGACATCAATGACTTTTCTTTATATGATATGGCATAATTTTAACTGATGTATAAAAACAAAATACTACATTATTTGAAATTCTAAAAAGATGTATGATTCACTTCTAATTCAACTTATAAGTTCTATAATTAAAACTTGGACATTTTATCAAAATTTGTACCTCATAAACTCCTTTCATTCTAGCAAGAGTTCAATATCATGTCAAAATAGATTTTAATCATTTGAAATTCATTTGAATTTGGAGGTTTAGTTTAGAATTAAAATTGAATCTATTTTAATATTTTTCTTTTTACCTAAGTTTTTAGTTTTTTTTCAAATTTGAAAATGTTTTAAAGAAGATATTTTAATATTGAGAATATGTAACGCATTCCACCATTATATATTTATTTAACAAGAGTAACTACATTATTGATTATTTCACATATGGTATTTAGCATTATTATTGGGTAGTATATCTACTAATTTCTCCTTAAATAAAGATTTTACCCTAAAAAAAGTATTTGTGATGGTTTGTTTTCACATTGTTTAATAAGTAGCTGGAGTAGATTCATTTTCAAATCCATTCATTTAATAATTAATAAAAATATACTGGTAACAAAATTAAAGTCACTAGAACATGGTGGAGCCCTTGAATTATGTTTTCAAATAGAATGACCTCGATTTATTTCTTTTATATAAATCGCTACAGGTTGCCATATTTATGTGCATATTAGCCAACACAGGTTACTACAATTTAATAATATTCCTTTTGGTGGTTTATGAAATTTGGACTTATAGAAATATTTTTTTAAATTAGAAAGTATATATATACACACACATACATATATTGATATGTCCCTATTAGGTATTAAAGCTGGGAAAGAAAAGAAATATTTTGGTATTTACTTTTGATTCTAAAGTCTCTGCTTAAGAGTTCCAAAAAACTACTGTTAGATTCAGCTACCTCAGAATTGTCTCAGGGCCCTTTCTCATTTATAGACTATTTACTTTTTGCCAATGTAATAAAGAAGAAGTGGATGCATGCAGACATCAAGAAAGGCTTTTTCCATATATTTGAGTCTTTTTAAATTTTTTTCTGTTTTACCTGTGTACTAAGGGAAGTGTTTGGTATTGGTCAATATAAAATGATATAATTGGTCTGAAGGTACTCAAAAATCAGAAGGCTTTTTTTATTTTCATGCAATATAGAAAGAGTTGGAGTTAAAACGTTTATAAAGAAGCCTAAACTTCTACAGAATTTTAACAGGATCTGCCATACAGCTTCAAATACTATAAGTTACATAGTTCCAATGGATATTTTCTGGAAAATGCAAATAATAGTTCTCTGAAGTATTCAAATTTTAATATTGAACCAGTTATGCAAAACCAGATACACTTATATAATATTTGTGTATAAATATACCAAAAAAAATGTCAAAATATAATTCCACATCGATAATTAATTTCATTCCTTTATAAGCAGAATGAAAGGAATTTTTTATTGTTAGAAAAAATACAAGACTTTATCAGAAAAAGAATAAGTTCATGGAAGGACAAACATCCTTAATGATAAAAATAATTTAAAATTATTTATTAAAAGAATTAGTATAATATGATTGAAAATAACAATTGTGTATTTAATATTGATTATAGGGCACGGAAGCATATGTAATTATACATCACAAGAATTTTTTCAATATGAAAAATTATACATAGAATTCTAACTTAGTTTTGATTCAAAACTATTCTTTTGATATTTAATAAACTATAAAATTTCAAAAAACATAATGAGTATATGGTCTTCAGTGTAACAATAGAATTCTCAGTCTTGAGGCATAATTAGGATGTTCTTAAATAAGATCAAAAAAAAGAAAGAAAAAAGAAAAAGAAATGATATTGAAATGATCTATTAATTGCAAATTTGACAATGAGTTAAGCATGAATGAAAATGATTGTAAATTTTCACCTCCAAGAGCAATGAAGTAGGAAAATCAACGAAGATTAAGCTGTATCAAAGATCATGATCTTAAAAGTCATTAAAATGTGAACTTATATATTTTAAGTTAGGCATTTGAAATTCTGATCCTATGATCTGGCACATATATTACCTTTCAGTGTCAATAGGCAATTTGTTGTAGTGACATATTTATTCTGTAAAAAAAATGACAAGTTTTATGTAGAAAAACTTTTCTTTTTATATTTTTATATTTAGAATGTTTAAACCAGCCTTGGTCACATAAAAAGAAAGGGTCTCTTAAAATTATACTACTTTGTTTTTCTTTAGGACTGAATTGTGAATTCAAGTTAGTGAAATATGGTATCTTTTTCATTCAAAATAAATAAGAAATTATTCTCTTACCTTAGTAATTTGGATTGATTTTTCAGTTCTAATTAGGAACAATACAACCTACCACACTTATAGCCTACTGACAGAACCAGCATGCTTTTTGCCCAAAAAGGCAATAGAGTACATTGTAATAAGTGAATGTGACTCTTAAAACTTCATTGTTATTTAGCACCCCATAGGAAATAAGAAAAAAAGTAATAAAATCGATTGTGACTTTTGACAATCATTAGTTAGAAAAAGGAGGTAACAATTGCCAAAAAAATCACAAAAGTGAGCATGTTACCTGGCTATGACAAAGAGCACACAACTGACACCCAAGTAAGCCAGCAGAATATACATCCAGATATCAGGGGAGAGAGGATTCAGGAAGGAGAAGACGCCTGGGTTTGTACCATTGGGCTTGCGGTACAAAATACTTATTCCAAGTGTCATAAAGGGCTTGGAAAAGTCGATGACCTTCTCTCGAACGTAGGTAATAGCCAGTGGTGCAACTGCAAGGTCAGCTTTCTGTAGAGAGAAACATAAAAAGGAAGAAAAAAGAAAGAGAAAAATTGCTTCTAAGTCACAAGAGAAAACTCAATGACTAAATTAAACAGATTTTATACTTAAATGATTTTTTCAGTAATGATCATGCTAAAATTTAAAGCATTTTTCGCTCTGATGTTAAGCATTTGATTTATTTGCTACTTATTTCTATATGCTTCCAGAATAGCACATCAGCATTTCATAAGTAGATATAGAAAAAAATACTATATAGGATGAAAAACTGGAGAAATTGTAGATTCAGCACATGAACAATTATGCTACTGAGACTTTGCATAATTACTTTTAGTTTAAGCTCTAAAAACTCGTTTAATATCAATTATCATTCTGAATATGTTGGTCAAATTCTAGTTGCAATAACTACATGAAAAAAAATTAGCTAGGAATCAAGAAAGATTTTCTTGGGTTTGCTACCATGGAAGAGTGTAGTTAAAATTTTTGTCATTAAATAGTTAAAACATTCTTAAAATCATCCTTTAATATGATTCTGTTTACTACCCCTGAGTTTTATTTCTATCCCTCTAATTTGTTTTATATTATTTAATGAAAATCCTTGCAGCATTGCCCAAATCGCATTAGGAAATGAGTTTTTCAATTTTCACAAAGTTGCTAATTTTCCACGGTAGCTTAAATATGTTAAATTACTAATGCTTTTCACTCATCATGTTATAACCATCTGTCAAGGCTGAATTTATGCTCTAATACATCGTAAGAAATTATAATGTTTTAAAATAACAAAGGCATCTATGATGAGAAGCTCTATTGCTACATTCCTTTTATTTTTCATAAACATAAAAAACTACAGAGAATAAATAAAAATATGCATTTTAGAGAGCTGCAGAAAGAATTTAAAAAAGAAAATTAACTCACTATTCTCATGCATTGTTAAAAGACTTAGAGAATAAACTTCCTTAAATTGACAAATAAAACTGTATTTATTGTTTATAAAAATATGTGTCAAAGAAACTTCTCTAAGATGCTGTTTGTTGACAATATTGTTCTGCATGTTTGTGTACATATGTGTGTTTTTGGTGTGGGTGAGGAAGGGAGCACTCAGATGTCTGGAGACAGTCTTTGAGAGAATCTATGGAGAAAGACATGTCTCTAAAAACTAAGAAAAAAAAGGTCCTGAGGGAAGAAATTATCATTGTTATATTCATAAATCAAGAAAAATATTTAAGAATAGTAATTGCTAATGCTCTTGTAGTCATTCACTGTGAAACTAGTACTGTGTTAAGAAATTCACATGAATTATCATATTTAATATTCACACAATCAACTGTTATTGTCTTTTTCAGAGAAGAAAACTGAAACCTTTAGAAGTTGGACCATGTATTAATTGCCTTAGAGCTAAATTTGCATTAGGCCAGGATATAAATGCAAACCACATCACTCTATGCCTTACCCATGCCATGCATTTCAGAAACTAGCAAAGGAAACATAAAAAGTCATCCATTAATTCATGAAATGGTGTGTAGCTATGGAAAGGGAAAATATAGAAACAAGGCTAGCAATTGATAAATTACAATTTCTGAGAATTTAGAGGACAGATGCTGCGTTCAGGCAGAGGGAGTGTCCTCCACAAGAATGAGACAGAAGGCAAGAAAGTAAAATAAGTTTTAAAAATCAGACAATCTTGTTAAAGAAGAAAAAAGATAGATTTTGACAAAATATGGGGAATATAGTAGTTAACTACTATTTTGGAAGTTGAAAATAGAGTACAGTTTATCTATGTGCTACTTCACTCTGGCACCCCCTCTCCTCCTAAGGTACATGAAAAGCAAAATATCATCATACACAACAATCTAAGTGAAAATGCTTTATAATAGTAAACTTTCTTAAATTTACAAATAAAATTATATCTATTGTCTACAACATGTTTTGAAATATATCTATATCTATATGTATATATATATGTATGAAATAAATATTTCTAACTAAGTTCTCTAGGCATATATTAAAAACATATGTCAAATTTCAAATTTACATAGCAGTGCCTAAAGTAAAAATTCTATCCCAAATGTAAAATCGAAAAGAGGTTAAAACTTAAATAAGAAAATTTAATTTTCAAGTATAAAATAATAGCCATTTGAAACAAAAGATATAAGCAAATCCTTTGAAACATCTAATACAAAAATAAATGGATAAATAATGTGTTACATCCACATAATGACATATTATTAAATTGTAAAAAAGAAATGAGCTATCAAATGATGAAATGACATTAAATGAATATCCTAAGAGAAAGATACCAGTCTGAACGTTCTACATATTGCAGGATACCAAATATATAGCATTATGGAAAAGTCAAAATTACAGAAGCAGGAAAAATAATCAGTGATTTCCAAGGATTCATGAGTAAAGAAGGAGTAATGAAAAGGTAGAACATGGAGCATTCTTAGGGTATTGAAACTATTCTGAAGGCTACTGTAATGGTTGATACAAGCATACATTAATCAAAAATCATAAAATTGCATAATACAAAGAATAAACCCTAATATAAATGAACTTTAGCTAAAAATATATGTGGCAATATTGTTAATCAGTTGTAATATGCTATACTAATGGAAGGTCTTAATAACAGGGGAACATTTTTTTTGTATTGTGGTTGAAGGGAAGGTGATATGGAGAAACTACTTTCTATATAATTTTTATACAAGCCTAAAATTCCTCTAAAATTTAATTTTATTAATCTTTATAACAGATTAATAAAATTAAATTTAATTAATCGTATCCTCATTTAGTATAACTTAAGAAATTATGCTTATTAGATAGAATTTGATTTTTACTATTAATTGTGATATGAGATTGATCAAATGTCAATTATCAAAAACAGTTTTTAATTGCACACTAAATATATTTTAACATCCTCTTAAGAAATAAAGCCTAGGACCATCTTGAGCAGTGAAAATGAAAATTTATTTATACATAGTTGTATTTTCTATTAATAAGGTCCAACTTCATTACAAGTGTCTTAATAATAAAATAATTATGAAATCTAATAAAAATTTTATTATTATATTAAATGTGTTCAAAAAGACAGTTGTGGTACTTACTCATTAAATGCCATGTTATTAAAGTGGTTAGAGATAAGAGCCTAATAGTACAATTGAATAATCCAAAAGCATATTAACCAAAAGGTTAATACGATTTAATGAAAATATTAAGTAGTCATTTTTTTTATTTTAAAGAATTATAAAATAATCTTGCCTGAGGAAAAAAAATGGACATTTTTAAAAAATCATTTCAGCAAAATAAAAAACAATAGGTTGTTTTATCTCATATGAATGATACAAAGGAAAGGGAGCACTCACCTCTAATTGACTGTATCAGGGAAACTCTTAGTGAATAATAACACTGGTATTTGTAGTTTGAAGTCTGAGTCTAAATTGGCCAAGCCCTGAATTGGAAGCATGGCAGAAATACGAATATCATAGTAATCACTAATATTCTATACATCTTTTATGGACCAAGACTGTGCTATATTCTTTACCATTATCACTTCCATTATCAATTCATTAATCCTTTACAAATGAAAATCCAGTGTAGTTCACATGAAACATGAGACTATAAGAAATTATTACCCACAAGTGACAGATGTACTCATTTCCCACCACTTTTCTCTACAATCATTTAAGCATTATGACAATTTTACTTCTATACTGGTTGTGTATTTCCCTGACCAAAGTGATCCTCCCTTTTCTGTGATATCCAAATTCTATAGGATATACATCTGTGGTTTCCTTCTTCCTGTGGAAACTTCCTGAAACTTCTGTCCACATTAATTTCAGTGATTTTTGATTGGGGTAGCATTTATGAACTAATCTATAGAACTTAACGTGGAAAAATGTTTTAGGTTGTGTTACTTCTGATTATTTTACATTTATGTCAGCCAATGTGATATGAGAGATTTGAATGTGCATGTTATTTTATTTGTGTTGCCTATGAGGGTATAAACACTTCACAACCCACAGGCATTTCCTTCAGTTAAAGTACATAGCTCTGAACTGAAGCAATTATAAGGCATCCCTCCCTGGAAATTTCATAGTTACCTAGGTAGCAGCTATCTCACTAAATTAATAAGTATTAATTTATTATTCTAACTTTCTATGTGAAACTCTGCCAAATTGTTTTATTCATCTTTATGATTATAATGAACCTAACATCCCCAAGGCACTGGATGCAATCTGACACAAAGGAACTGCCTAGAATGTTTGCTGAATTCAGTTTCAATTAAACTTATTAAAAATTTCAAAAGAATTAAAGAAAAGTACTTAGAGAATTTTTAAATTAAACTTTTTTCCAGCTTTATCCTAGAAACAAAATTTATTTCTATATTAATATAACTCTAAGTTTACTGCCCATTTAGGGAAAACAGAATAATTCTTTTTTAGTGATATAGCTAATATAGTATTCCATTCCTTAAAGTCTCACAGAACATTGGTAAAAACTATACAACAAATACATTGTACAAAACTTAGATAACAAAGTATATCTGCAAAAATGATGTGATGACTCCAAATATAATGATGCTATGAAAACCTTCTTTACGGAGCATCAATAATCAAAAAACACTATTATGATTTGGATATGAGGTGTCCCCCAAAGCTCATATATGATACAATAAGAAGGTTCAGAGGAGAAATGATAGGGTTGAGAGAGTCATAATGTAATCAGTGAATTAATCCCCTGATAGAGATTAACTGAGCAATAACTAAAGTTGTGAGGTGTGTCTGGAGGAGGTGGACATTGGAGGCATGGTTTTGGGGTATATTTTTGTATCTGGCAAATGGAATCTCTCTCTCTGCTCTCTGATCATCATGTGATCTGCTTCCCTCTGTCATACTCTTCCACCATGGTGATCTGGCTCACCTCGAGCTCCAAGGAATTGAGCCTGCTGTCCATGAATTGAGACCTCTGAAACCCTGAACCCTTAAATAAACTTCCCCTCCTCCACCGTTGTT